CCCCCAAAACCCCAAAACCCCAAAACCCCACCTGTACTCTTGAGTGTTGAATTTTACTATTTGAATTTAGATTCTAAAAGATAGCTTTCAAGTCTTTTCTTTGCTATTTGTGCTCTGAGTTCTGTAATTTTAGACTTTTGGTCTTGAACGAAATCATAATCAATATCAGCAGATTTGATCTGTTCTTTGCCAAATACGATTGACTATATGTTTAAAACAAGAATTCTGTACCTCTCCTGTGTAGGTTGAAACTTTAACTTCTCAGGTTTCGAGGTTTGGTAAGTACTTAACGAAACACACCCATTTTTTAAATGTTGGGGGTTCTTCGTTCATGAAACTTGTGTCTTTATTTATTTTCCATATCTAAGAAGGAGTTGCACTCGATGGATAGTTTTACTCCTGAGACTAGATTTGTTAGTAAATTTCAAAGGGTCTGTATTAAAAACTCACTCTTTTCTCTGATGCATAGGAGGTCGTCAACTGATTCTTCTCCGCAGAACATCGTCTCTATCCTGCCAAGGTCAAGGTTTATGCCTTTGCAATGGGTGAGGGGAGATAATATTTCTGTTTGAATGTCTGATCCTTCGTTATGAAGATGAGAGGTTAAACCCTGCATAACTTCTAAGTTTACCACTGCGTTTGATAATGATTGGAAATATCTAGAGTAAGGTTATGAAGAATAGAAGGATATATTTTGAATATATTGAGTAGAGGTTTAACAAGAATATATGAATGAGCACATAAGTTACCTGGTGAAGTTACTAAAGTTCAAATCTGAGTTATTTGAGCATACTATATCAACCTCAGTAAGGTCGACGAGGATTCAATCTTCTTTTATCTTATCTTCTATTGCAATTAAAGCTTTTATGTACCTTTCTTAACTGTGTCAATTACAGTATTCTCTAAAAATGTATTATGCATGTTTAAAGATGGTGTACGGACACTTACTTTCATTTGCATTGAATTTAATAGATAATATATTACTAAGTCATTGAACTTCTCCTAAGTCTTCCTCTGGTTTCATTATGTGTTCATAATTAAAACGAAGTTCTCTATAGCCAAAATATAAAGTCGATGCCTCAATGGTAAATCTTGACTAAGTTGCTAAAATATTTGAATGAGTGCTTAAGCTATTTTTATCTGTAAAATAAAGATGAGACAAACAGAGCACCAGTCTTCAGAATATGTATAGGATAAATCAAGAGTCCATAAAACTAGGAAATATTTGACCAATGTGCATTGAATAGTCTATCTAGCTGATTGTTTTGTTAGGAAAACTTACATCCTTGGTGAACTAATTGTGAACTTTTGTTTCTGAGAGCAGCTCACAATCGTGATTTGGCTGTTATTTCAAACATATGTGTAAGGTTGTGCATATCAGTATGAAATAGGACTGGTTGTAGTTTCACTATGATCTTTTCTTTCTATAATTTGAATGAATGGTTTGTTCATTGTTTAAGAAAATTAAATGTGTGAGAGGAAGTAAATAATTTCTGTTCCAATAGGAATGAAATCAAATCTAAATATTTTTACCCTCAAAATCCAATCTAGAATTATAACTACTCCTTTGATGAGTTTTTTTAAGCAATGAAGAGTTTTGAGAAAAATTTAAGCTCATATAATTGGGAAATTAATGAAGATTGCCAAAGGTTTATCTTAAAAATTCAATTTTATTGTTTTTACATATCTCTAAACTCTGTTTTTTGTTGCAAGCAATCATATGCTGCATCTAATTGCTTTTAGGTTTAAAATGGCAATATGCCAAATTGGTGAATGCATCTTAATTTGCCAGACTCCCCTTAGTCACATGAGGTTTTATTTGAGTTTTCAGGAGTCAAAGTAAGCAGAAAATTTAAACAAAATGTTCTAAGTAGTGTAAAAATTATTTTTATGATCAACAAGGCAAGATTTTGACCTCAGCTCAGCTTTTAGAGAGCTTAGACCTTGGAATTTAAAATTTAGAGTTTAAGTGATTGAATAGATTACAATGGGAGTTACCAATTACCTTCAATAGTCTTAGTGGTGAGCTTAAAGCTAAGAACTGAGGGCATTACAAGTAGACAACATAATAGTTTGTCAATGGTACTGCCTGACACATCTATTGCAAGCTCAAAGTCATTCAAGTTTGAAAATTTAGGTAGCATTCATGCTAGTAATGACTGTAAGGGTAGTTTTGAATAATCCACGTCATGCAGGCTTAACTTCAAGTAATTAATCTGGTCTTTTAAATGAGCTGGCACTTCAAAATCTGCTCCAAGTATGGGAGTTTGGTTAATGAGGTTTATATGCAAGCCTCTTGCCTTTTCAATGTTCTGGAGTTTCTGATTAATATGGTCAAACAAATCAACCTCTTGCCGCTCTTTTTCTGAAATAATTGGGAGGTTATAGATATTGAAGTTCTTGAACAAACCTGTGTCAACATCGTCTCTATCAGAGTACTGGATGTATTCCAAAAAGTAGGGGTATTTTTCAAAGAATTCTTTGTATTCCTCTGGAAAGTTTGATATGTCACATTCGATTGACTCAAAGTTTACTCTATTCACAGTTATTCTTCCAATATTTGTGCATAATTTTGGCTGGATTTGGGAAGAAATACAGAAGATCTTATTTATGTAAGTTCTTGGTTAGAATTTTAAGGCAATATTAGGATTGGGAAACTACCTTAAAGGTGTTTACTTAGGAAATTAGATTGAAAAAAAGAAAAACGTATGAATATAAGTAGGCTGTTCAAAGTGGAATATGGATCTTTTAGAACTAATTATTAGAAAATAATTAATTTGGATAAATCATAAGGCTCCAAATATGACCTTAATTTATGCTCTTCTTGTTTTTAGTTCTGATTCAGTAAGAAATATTGTAAAACTTTAAATTTTAAAGAGTGATTTAAAAATCAACAAAATCAGGCGACTTTCTTTGTAAGTTATCTTAAGATTTATATAGAATAAATGACTGACATTGTTTAACTCAAAAGCTTACCATTGGGGATTTTTGAGCCAATCAAATACATTCAAGAAATACATGTAGTTGATTTGAGAGTCAAGACAAATCGGTGGCATTTTGTAAATGTAGGGATAAATTGAATCCAACACTTTGCTTATGTAATTCCTTCTATTGAGGAAGTCTATAAATTTAAATCTGTTGATACCGTCAAACCCAGGGAGAATCGCTATAAATTGTTACAATATTCAAAGTACCATAATTGTCTTTTAGGATAACTTTTATAAAAATGGCTTCTGATTATCATACCATGTGGATCTTGTGCTTTTTCAAAGACTTGTCAGTAGTTTCCATCATTCATTTGTTCTTCCAAAGTACGGCAAGATTAAGCTACAAGTTGGCATTTTTGAGAGTAGTTGTTTGAGTACGGAAAACCTATGTGTTAGATGGTACTTACTCAGATGAATCCATGGCTAATTTGAAATCTATTAATTATATAAAATTTGGGGTTTTGGGGTTTTGGGGTTTTGGGG